CAACTGTAGGTAGCTAAGGTGAAAAAGAGGAAGAGGGTCTTAATGTCTCGAAGGTGATATGAGGGATGCTCGGAGGCCTATGAGTGAGGACTTAGACACCTGTTGTACAGATAAATGCCTGTATATGTTCTCACTGGGCATTTTCAGTATTCGTTATTAATACTGGAATATTATGCTAGAGGAAAAATAAACTTTAGACTTACTTGTTTTTGCTATACCTTTAAATTTTCCCTACCTAATTCCATTGTAAGCAGTTCTGTATTTAGTCAAAAGATTTTTTTAAATTACACTTTATGAGTTTAAACAAATTGATATAAGGATGGTCTATGGCATCTTCATAAGTCTTTTGAAACATACTATCATAAAGCTTTGAGAAAAATTAAGTTTTTAAAAAAAGCCATTTCATCTTTTTAACTCTATTTGCCATAATATAACGTACATTAAGAAAATCAGCCTTTACTAATTTGTAAATTTAAAAAAGTGACATTACTAATAGCTTTAAATTTCACTTAGAAATATTTGTAATTATTACTGTGAAAAAATTTTCTGATACTAGAATTTTTTTTCATGTTAGACATTTTAACTCAGTGGAAGATGACTCTTCTTTTTTGACTCTTAGATTTTCTATTTCATATATAGTAAAAACAGTTTTAAAAAGTGAAATAATTATACATTTACTACTAGTGTTAATACTTTTCTTTTCAGATCGATGACACAGATGCCATGGAAGATGTACATTCTCTACTTACTGATGTTCCTCCTCCTTCAGGTGAGCGAAAAAAATTACCTTTCAGATGAAACTAGTTTTACATATCAGTATTTTAGTTCATAATTGTTACAGCACTAGCTTTATTTTAAAGGCTTTATCACAGTGTCATATTCTGTCATGTGCCTGCTGTCTCAAGGCTGAAAATAAATAATTTAAAAATATTTATGTTAGAACTTAGGTGGAACTGATTTTATTTTTCCTTAGGTTTTTGCCATAGGGCACATGTGCTTGCCAGAAACAGAAAGAGGGAAAGTGAGAAATTACCCTGCCCCCTCTGGGAGAATGGCCATGATGCAATCCCTTCTCTTCCCTTCTCCTCTTGGAATTTTGGGCACACATGCACACTCAGGCCTGGTGTGATTTTCAAGCCTCTGAGTCTGCAACTTGAACCAGGGTTGTCCATGTGGGAATCAAGTGCCTTAGCCACCATGCTGCCTGCTGACCCCTAATGGATCAGATATTTAATCCCTTAGGTTTACACATGAGAAACAAACAAAAACAAAACTATGATAATTTATTAGCATGGCTGAAAGTCTTCTGAGGGGATAGAATTTTAGGGGAAAAAAAAAAATCAGGCCTAGCCCATGGCATGGTGCTTAAGGCAGCTGATTCTCACATGGCGGACTGTGTGGTTTGAATCCTGGACACAGTGGCTTTAGAAGCATGTTAGTTACGTGTGCATGTGTGTCCAAAATCCTGGAAGGACAGAAATGGAGAAGAAATTGCATCATGACTATTCCCCATGGAGGGTACTTCCTCACCCCCTCCACCAGTCTGTCTTTCTGTCTGGAAAAAAATTTACAACAAGAAAATTAAAATGTAAGATTTTAGTTAGAAGTTTATATATAATAATAATTTAGTAATTGAAGAATGTTACTCTTTAACAGAAGAATCAATGAAATATAATCCTATGCTTTAATTTATTTTGACAGGCTTTTATAGCTGCAATACAGAAATTATGCCTGGTATAAATAATTGGACATCTGAGATACAGGTAAGCCTTTTGTTCTTACATTAAAGCACATACTCCATATGTTATTTTAGTAACATATTTATCTAATATCGGTTTCCTTCTGACCGGTTGTAGTTACATGCTATTCTTTTTCATTTCACAGTAGTTATTGTCCATTATTTGGCAGTTTTATAAACTGTTCCAGTATTTAGTTAAAAATAATAAAAGGATGTGTTGCTTGTCTCTTTGCGTTTAGATGTTCACATCAGTAAGAGTAATCAGATTAAGCAGCCTTAACCTGACTAATCAAGCTCTCAATAAGAACTTCAATGATCTCTGTGAAAATTTGCTCAAGGTAGGAATCTTCTGGCTTAGTTTTATTGAGAGCCCTTAAGGATCATGAAATTAAAAAAGAAAGGTATCTATATAGCCTGTAAAACCGTACCTAGTTTTCTGCTAAATTATTTTAGTTACCTATCAGTCTTGGCACTGTCACATTAGCTAAGATCCTCTTCCACTTAAAATTATCTTTCTATACAAGAAATAGTTTAAGTTAGTTAACAGCTTTAAATTTCATAAAAATGTAGTGTGCATATATACATTTAAAAATCCTGTATCTTATATTATTTTGTTATGACTTATGAATGTGATTAAACTTTAATGCCAGAGCCAGGAGGTGGCTTGGGGGTTAGGGTGTTGGATTCCCACATGGCCGACTGCAGTTTGAGTCCTGGACTTGTCGGCTTGCTTTCTTACTCTTTCTCTCACTCACACTCTCTCTCTCTCTCTTTTCTTTCTCTCTCTTCCTTGTGAGTGCACATGCCCTAAAGCAAATCTACAAAAAAAATTTTAAAGTTAGAATCTTAATAACTGTATAAAGAGTGAAATATATCTTTTTTGAGAGAGAGATTTTTGCTATATTTTTAAAGTTAGAATCTTAATACCTGTATAAAGAGTAAAATACATCTTTTTTGAGAGAGAGATTTTTGCTATAGGGCACATGCACTCACTGGAGAGACAGACAGAGAGACAGAAAGTGAGAAATCAACCCCTGGGGAGATGGCCACACCACAATCCTTTCTCCTCCACTCTCCTCTCAGAATTTTGGGCATGAATGCACACATGCCTGGTGTGTTTTAAGCCACTGGGTCTGTGACTTGAACCACGGTCAACTATGTAGGAGTGCAGAGACCCAATCATTACACCATCTGCTGATCCCAAAAGAGTAAAATGTATCCTTAGTTTAAGAATAGATGAAAAAGAAATGGAGTGGTTTTGTTTTCATCTTTTTAACTCTATTTGCCATAATGTAACGTACACTAAGAAAATCAGTCTTTACTAATTTGTAAATTTGTAAATTTTTAATTTGTAATTAAAAAAAGTGACATTACTAATATTTTCTATTATATAGAGCCTATATTTTAAACTACGATCTATGATCCCTTGCTGTCTTTGCCATGTAAATTTCACAGTGTCTCTGCCTGAAGATGAACTAATACAGGTAATTAAGGTTCATTCTATTATTAAAGGAAGTTTTTAGCATTTATCTGACCTGTTTTAATATTATAGTTTTGTCATAATTAAAGTACACTCTTCTACCTGAAAATATTTTAAATCATATGTTGATATGAAGCAGGCCTGTGCGTGCTGAAGTCTAGTTATGTGCAGATGAAACCACACGTAAGCTTTAGCATATGTACAATAGGATGTGTATTCAGCATGTGAGATTCCACTGGGTCCCGTCTGTTAGAGATGATGGTTGTGTCTCTCTGGGAGTATTTAGGTTTAGCTATACATGATGGGTTTTATCTGTACCTGTATATCTCAGTTTGTCTATATGTCCCTATGTAAGTTGAGGGCCTTAATCAGGAAAGGCAATTTAGCCAGTTCCATGGTACTGAAAAAGATTTGTAAGAAACTTACTTCTGACAAGGATTACTTTGCTAATCACATTTTTTTCTATTTTTTTAGGTTACAGTTACTGCAGTTGCAATAACTTTTGACAAAAATCAGGCTTTACAGACCACGAAAGCACAGGTTGAGAAGTCACTGCAAAGAGGTAAACCTTGGATGGCTGGGAAGTACAGTTCATGTTTGTGTTCATTATAATTCAGTGGTAAAATATGCAGGACAGGTATATTACAAAAATGATTTGTTTCTTAAAGATATATCAGTCATGTTTTCTGTTTATCTTTATCAAGGTAAATGTAGATAAGCATATTGCTGATTTAGCTGTTTTTCAGATGTGACTATTGCTGACTTAGATATTTTTCAGACATAACTATTTTTGCCTAGAATAATATAGAAAAACACATTATGACTTTCTGGATGACCTAACAGTATTTACATCGGGAATGCTGCAGTTTAATAGATAGACCTGGATTATCACATTTTAATTCTGCATTAATTTAGGGATTATTTGAAGATAATAGATAGTAACTGGTTTAAATATCATTGACAAAGGTACAAAGTTTAGAATAATGGTAATTATTGAGCGCTTACATTTGCAAGGTAGTGTGCTAAGTGATTTACGGGAATTAATCTTAAAATCTCATGAGAAGTCCTATCAGAGTAGGGAGTACCATTCTCAGCATCCTGCAGATAAAGGTCTCCATGAGAAAAACCAAGGAGAAAATAACCAGAATAAATTGAAGTGGAGGGAGTCAGGGTGAGAAGAAATGTGTGTGTGTGGGATGTGTGTGTGTGTGTGTGTGTGTGTTTGCACAGGTAGGATGTAATCACAGATTCTTAATTTAAACAAATTATTATTGTTACTAAATTATATGTTTTTCTTGCTTCTTAAGCCTCTACAGATAATGAAGAACTTCTGCAGTTTCCACTGGAGCTCTGTTCAGATTCTCTTTCTTCTCATCCCTTTCCACCAGCTAAAGGTTGGTTAAATAAGGGAAATGCAAACACATATCCGAGTTACTAGTTAATTTCACTTGCTTCTTCATTATAGGGAATCATACTTTACCTTGAGGTGAAGATTTATCTTTCATTCCTTTGTTGTATGTTTCTTCATATTCATAAAGGAGAGAAAGTAATATGTTCCTCTTACTTTAATTTCTTAAGTAATTTCATCATAAATTATGAAGGTGCTTTTTTCATATGAAACTTCATTTTCATACCTCAAATATACTGAAGTTTTATTTTCAAAGATTTGGATTTCCCATCTTAGCTGTTTATACATAGAGTGTTTGGGGTTTATATTTGGTAAGTTTATTTTTTAGCAGCAGTCAAACCTTTAAAATTTTTTTGATATTTTGGACAAGAATGCCTGTTTTATTCTGAAGATAATATGGTGAGGTTTTGGGTGGGGTAGTCTCAGTGAGAAAGGGATGAACTTCCTGGTTTTGGTGCCTTGGCTATTTTGAAGAACGCTGTTACTTACGTTCATTGTGACTTACGATTGCCCCTAATAGTGGTAAATCTGTTTTGATCTGTGTGTGTGTGTGTGTGTGTGTGTGTGTGTGTTTTAATTCCTAGTTCCCTTCTGATTTCACTGAAATTTTTATTATTTAAAAAAAAATTTCAAAATGACTATGCCTTATTTTGTAGCATTACATTTATGATAAATGTAGTTCATGTTTTTTGCTAAATTTTTTTCTCCTGAGAAATGATGCACTTTTTATTTAACATCAAATCATCTTTTCTAATTTTTATATTTTATAGTACAAGTTTAATTATTTCAAGATTCCAACTTGTTAATTATTTTATCAGAGAGCAGATTATGTGTAATACAGAATAGTTTTATATATATTCACATTGCATATACAGTCATGTGTTGCTTATCTATAGGAATACATTCTAAGAAATGCATTGTTTGGCAGTGTCATCAATGTGTGAAGATTATAGAGTACTTACACAGCCCTAGATGGTATGGCCTATTGAACATCTAGGCTATATACTCCAAAACTACAAACCACAGCATGTTACTGTAATGAATTCGGTAGACAATTGTTAACAGAGTGGTATTTGTGTATATAAACCTATCTTAACATAGTACAACTGCAGTAGAAATACAGTATAAAAAAATAAAAATGGATATGCCTGTATAGGACACTTACTTATAAATGGAGCTTACAGGACTGGAAGTTGTTCTGGGTGAGTCAGTGAGCGAGTGATGAGTAAACATAAAGGCCTAGGACTTTACGTATACTACTGCACACATGCCAAGCACTCTCTGTATACTACACCACACTGCATTATAAAAATGTTTTTCTTTAATAATAATGTATTATAACTTTTTTTTAAGAGAGATTTTTGCTATAGGGCATGTGTGTTCTCCAGAGAGACAGAGATAGAGACAGAAAGTGAGAAATCACCCCCTTATAAGGGATGGCCCTGCCACAATCCCTTTTCCTCCATTCTCCTCTTGGGATTTTGGGCATGCACACACACGTGCCTGGCATGAGTTTTAAGCTGCTGAGTCTGAGATTTGAACTATAGTCAACTATGTGAGAGTCCAGTGATGTAACCATTATGCCATATGCTGGTACTTTACTGTAACTTTTGAACTTTCTGAACTTTTAAATTACTTTTAACTGAAGTATTTATATTCATTTTATTAATTATTATTCTTTTTTAAGTTTGCTATAGGGCATATGTGCTTACCAGAGAGAGATGGGAGGGGGAAGGGGATGAGAAAACAAGCCACTAGGTCTGGGACTTGAACCACTGGGAGTCTAGTGCCTTAACCACCATGACACCTGCTGGCCCCTTAAATTACTTTCAATTTTTTGATCTTTTTATAATAACATTTAGCATAAAACACAAACATATGGTACAAACATACTAGATATTTTCTTTTTATATTTTTTTAGAATTATTTTATTTAATGTTATTATTTATTTATTTTCACTTGACCAGAAAAGGACAGAGTGAGAGAGAGAGGGAAAATGAGAAAGCAAGCCACCAGGTCCAGAACTTGAACTGCAGTCAACCATATGGGAGTCCGGCGCCCTTAACCATCCCGCCACCTGTCAGCCCCAAATATTTTCTTTTTTTGGGAGAGATTTTTCACTGTAGGGCGCGTGCGCTCGCCAGACAGACAGAGAGAGACATAGAGACAGAAAGCGAGAAATCACCCCCCAGGGGGGATGGTCACGCCGCAATCCCTTCTCCTCCATTCTCCTCTCGGGATCTTGGGCATGCACGCACACGCACCCGGCGTGAGTTTTAAGCCACAGGGTCCGGGACACGAACCGCGGTCGACTACGTGGGAGTCCAGCCACATAGCCATTACGCTAACTGCTGGTTCCCAAATATTTTCATTTTTGATAGCTTTATTATAAGCATTTTTCTGCTATTAAAATTTTCTGCCTTTGTTTTTTCTTTTAAAACTTTTTGTTAAACTAAGACACAAAGCACACAAAGCACACGTTAGCCCAGGTGCACACAGAGTCAGGATTATCATTTCAGAACTGTCTTCATTTCCATATCTTATCCCACTGGAAGGGCCCTGATGAACCAAAGGACATGAAATTGGTCAAGCACGAGAGAGAATGATACAGTTAGAAGATGCTGCACACAAGGTGTATGTGGCTGCTGCCAGGGTGACATGGACTACTGCTTTACAATCAAGCTTTCTTTTCCACAGGTAGAAGGAGTATACGCTAAAATAACAGTAAAGAGTATAGTAAAGAAAAACCAGTAAGCATAGTCGTTTATTGTCATTAATTGTCATACACTCTACCTTATTGTATGTGCTGGCAGAGCAGTAGGTTTGTTCACACCATCGTCACCACACACACATGAATAATGCATTGCTCTGTGATGTTGAGAAGGCTACAGCATCACTACATGGTAGAAAGTTTTCAGCTCCATTGTAATGTTTGGGATCGCTGTGGTATAGGTGGTCCATTGTTGACTAAAATGTCACTATGTAGCACATGACTGTATTTCAAGAGAATTCTTAGTTAGTCAGTACAAGACCTGTCTGTGAAGATAGATAGATCTTGTTCATATTGTGAAGATGAGAAGAAAAGCTATTTTCAGAATCTGAACTTTCTGTCAGTTTCATGGTAACTGATCTTTCCTTGTCATTACCGGAAATTCTAATTCCATAATTTTAGGATAGCTCAACTTCCTTGAAAGACTAGAGAAAGAAAATGAAAGATAATTTGAGTTCAGATTAATTAATCAAATATAGCTTCCATAACAGAAAGCAGAACTGTTGGGAATCTTCCTTGAACTCACTGGACAGCAAGTGTTTTGTTTATTTTAAACTCCTCCTTTACATAAAAACTTGTATTTATGTAGGGTTAGTTCCAAATCACTTTTAGATATCATTTTATTTGTCTTTACTTTGCAATGGGGGCAAAAAGCCTCCAATAGCCTGCTCAACAAAAACAAAGTCATATTTGAACAGTACCTAAAATATTTGCAACTCATTTTAGGGAACCTGGAGAGGGGCCGTAAGGTGGAGTGAAAAAGCAACAGATAACCTGTTAGAACTCGGGCCAGTTATTTAACCTCACTAAGTTTCAGTTTCTCAGCTGTGAAAAATGTAAAAAGGTTAAGGTTCTCTCTGGGCTTTAAAATTCTGTGATTCCTGTAGTTTTTGGTTCTTCTATTATTAATATATTCATATTATTAAAAACGTAAGTCAGAAGCTAAATTAGTGCCCAAGGTCACACTGAGCTTCTGTCATTAAGTTAAATTAAATGTCTCCCAGTATCTTCTAATCAATGAAAGCAGTAACTTTTAAACACTGCTTCTCTAAGCCGTAGGAATTTTCATTCGTCTCATGACCTTACATAAGCCAAGGACAGGGAAGCAGAGGAGGGTGAAGAGTGAGAGGATAGAAGTATGAGCTTCCCCTATATGTGAACCGGAGCAACTTCTAGTCTGTGCTTTTCTGTTTCAGTCTTCTATATATGATTTTATTTGAAGAAAGGGTTTTAAAAGGTTTGAAAACCACTGAATCCTGATCATGTCATCTTTATCATTGTCATCATCATAATTACCATTATTATCACATCTAATACTAAAACTTTTTTACACACAATGCTTCATTGAAAAACTTATGTGCTTTTCTTGAATATTAACACTTTAAAATCACCAGAAAACACTTTAAAGTGTATCTATACCTTTTTGTATATAGTTTTGTAGTTTTATAAATTGCAGGTTTATGATGCATGCTTATTTATCATCTTCCTCAAGTTTTCTCAAGAGGACATGAGCTAAGCGTATTTTTAAAAGTTGTCTCAAAGTATTTCTGATAATTTCAGGGAAAGATAGATTTTGAAAAATCTTATAGCTTAAGTGGAGTAATTGCATGTTATAATGCGACCACAGGCTTTGGATTGAGAAAATGTATGGGAAAAGTTACACATAGCAATTTTGAGGAAACAGGCAGGAAAGAGAAAGTTCAAGAGTGTTAGGAATAAATGCTCAAAAGACTCATCTTAATGCAAACATAAAAGCCTTAAAAGTTAACTCATACTGACACATAAATGTATATAACTTTTATAGTTTTGTTAAGTTGGTTAGCTAAGCTGATGGTTTTTTCCTTTTGTCTTATGGAAAGTTTGAATTATACTTTATATTTCATGTCATTATCACAGATAGGATGACTTGTTAAATTTTTCATTTCTTTTTACGTTGACAGTTTCAAGATCTGAACATAGTGTTTATTGATACTTCCATCTTTTCACTTGTAGATAAACCTTTCATTATCTCTTTGTGTTACTGAAAATGGGTGAATGTGATGTGAAGAAATGATGCTCCAATTATGTGTGTCCTAAGTTACTGTGTAGAGTAAGCCTGGGCCTGAATTGTCCATCCATGTTCAACTTTTTCCTTCCATTGTTTATTATATTTGGTTTTGTTTTTCAAGGTAACACAATAGTTTGATGTGCATGTCAAACTTATGGTTGATGTGGTG